GGGGGGAAAAGCAGGATGAGGGGAGGAAAGGTTAGCGTGGGGCCAGGACTCGGGTGCTGCCGTGGGGACGGGGCAAGCTCAGAGCAACAGGATGCCAACGGTGTCCTAAAACATCCCTAAAAGGGATGCTAAGAATCGCCAGTTACGGCTCTTTTCAACCCAAAGTTACAGATATCAGGTGTGGTTTCCTAACCGTTAATTACAAGCATGAAATTCTGGGTGAAAATCTAGGCAGATACTGCACACGCAGCAGAAATATATGACCCTGTGTACTCAGTATGTGCAAATGCTGTTAAAAAGTTTCCCTTTTCAGCATATTTCTAGCAAGAGTTTCAAAATTTAGGCAACTTAGAGGGTTTCTTCTTGAAGGCAAATTGTTACCACCGAAGATTTTAGCTTAAAAAATAACCCACACCCATTAGCATCTTCTGCCTCTCTTCTGGAGAAAAGTTAATTTGCGCAGGGAAAGGAGCCAACGCAATTAAATTAAGTTGTAGCAGAACTTGGAGCCCAAGCCCAGGACAGAGAGATTTATGAGGCTGGAGACTTTACATCAGCCCATTTGAAACAGGATTTGGGATTGAAGATCAAACAGCACCTCAGCTGAACCAGCCCGTGGAGACCCAGGGAGCTGGAAACCGGAGGGGTGAGCACATTTCTGGCTGGGGTGGCATCTCTGCCACATCGGGATGAGCTATCGGTGGCCGCCCCTATGTCAAAAACCCTGAGTTTCTGAGAGAAGTGCTGATGAAGGCCGTCGCTAAAGACGAAAATCTCTCTTCTTTTAACCAAGCTCAGCTGTGCTGATTCTTTTCCCAATAAAATAAGTTATTTGCTTGAAAAGGTCTGTGGTTACGCAGTGCCTGGTGTCTTCGCTGTTGTCACAAGGAGCCACCAGCTTCACGTGCCGCCCAGACCGTGGGGTTTGTTTCAAAAAAGACAAACTAAGAGCCCTAAGGGGAGGGAGGGGAGGAAGGTCCAGCTCGGGGATGCTCAGCATCCCAGCGCACGCACCGGCACGGCGGCTCCTGCCAAGCACTCCTCTATTTCTCGAAATTTCTTAAAAAAAAGCCTTAAGGTTGCTTGGCAACAGGCGGATCCTGGCAGTGCCAGCGGCAGCCGCGGCAGCTCCGGCCGGGCTGGGGAGGCTCGTGGCACAGTTGCGATGCAGCCCGTCTCCGATCCTTCCTCGACTCGCCCGACAATGGTCCCCAGGATCATCGATGCTGAAAATCGCAGATTTTCCCAAGCAGAGCATCATTTACCGACGGCTCTTACTGGGCTGTGGGTGACCCTCCTCGAGGCAGCCGGGCCTGGCCGTGGCTTAGCAGGTATCAGGGCAGGATGTAAAATAATAATATTATATAGCTGCAAGCTGCTGTGACGTTGCAACATGCAACGCTGATCTCTGCCTCCCCTCCTGGAGGGGAGGAGGATGAAAGCTCTCGTGTGATGCTCTTCTCAAGAGAAGCTGCCCAAACCAAGAGCTTCACGTGATTCAGAGGGAGCGGCTGTGTGCAGGGCTGTCCAGAGTTACAATGGGTACCAGCCACGTGCATCCTGCATCCGTGGGCTGGTGGGGAGCGTGGCAATCCCACCCCGCGAGCGGGGCCAGAGCTGTGCTCCAAGGCGAACGGTGTGTGAGATGCAGGGCTGATGCTCTCCTGGAGCCTGGCCACTGTCAGAGAGGGGAGAGCGGATGAATCCAGCAGCTCTTCTAGTCCCACGCGACCATCATGAGAAGATGAGATCTGGGTTATTTGCTTTCTGCACCTGCAGTCAAGCCACGGTACAGCCCCAATGCATGGTGGCAAGCAAGATCCCTCTTCCAGATCATGTTTAGCATCGCATGATTCAGTGAGGGAAGCATCAAGGGAAGCAGGGGAGGGCAGAAAAGCAGCATCCACAACCCTCCGGAGCCCAGGCTGCCGAAATGGCTCACGACGAGGTCTGCAGTGTTTTGCCATCAGCGATTTCAGCAAGTTGAGGTGAGCCTGTTGCTTCTGCAGCTCTCCTCCCGACACACCACCCATGCTCTGGGTCTCGTGGAAATTAAACCTCAACCAGTGCCAGGGGAGCCTGAGCTGCCGTCACCGCTCGGGCGAGGGGATGCAGCCTCCTCTGACTGCCTCCCTGGGAGCTGGGAGGGACAGAAAGGTCTTTCTTTTGTCCGAAACTATACTGACGCGAAAAGAGAGAAAAGAGTAAGCACAGCTTGGAAGCTCGCTGCTTGGGAGAAGCTGGTGGTGAACAGCAATGCTCGAGCTCCACTCTGCAACGTCTTTTCTCCCGTGGGACTCCCTGGAAAGCCTTAGCGTAACCCGGAGAAGGTGGAGAGGAGCGGATGCCTGTGGCTGTACGTACCTGTGTCGGGTGGGAAGGGGTTTGGTGCGGTCACCGTCCCCCTGCCCTGCTGGGACGGCCCGCGGGCGTGCGGGCTGCTGCCGTTGCTCGCAGGACAAGGAACCGGCCTCAGCTGCGCTGGCTCCAGGGGGTCACAGAACTCAAAGGGGGTCCGACCAGCCTGCACGCCCTGCCCGCTGTTCATCGCTAGAGATTCATTAAGTTATTAAAAAAAAAAGAAAAAAGAAAAAAAGCACAAGTCAGATCTCTTCCCAAGGCTAGTTCCAAGATCACCGGCGCTCGGCAAAATCCTTGCCCCGCCAGGGAGGGAGCCGGTGTCGGTAAGTTTGGAGGGCGAGAAGGGGGTCGGGGTGGGATGTCACCTCGCCTAAAACTGAAGGCTCGGTCCCATGTGCGGTTTGGTCACCCGCAGCCACCCTGGGGGAGCCATCCCGGGTGACAACAGCCCCCGGGCAGCACCGCAGCTCCTGCATGCTATGCCACGCTGTGTGAAGGTAAGGGGATCCAGGAGCCGGGCTGGCACCCAAAAAACAGTAGCTGGAGCTTAAAATAATCAGCTGGGCATAAAAATTAAAAAAGATCAACTGGACGTAAGAAAGGCAGGGGGGATGGGGGTTGCATCTGTCTAATGCACATAGTCAGGGTTTGAACTCTGCTAAAAAGAGGGTATCAGGACCACTGTGAATTATAGAAGCTGAAGTGCAGCTCTGGCAGCTAGAGGGGAGCCTCAGCAGCGACGCTGCCCGTGCTGGCTTCCTGCCTGTGCAGATTTCATCTATCACCTGCTGGCTTTAAATCAATTAAGACGATGTCATTAGGCCACGCATTATTCTGATTTTTATTTAGATAAGTTTTTGCAAATTCAGCTGCACTTTGCCATCAGGGAGCCCTTCTCAAATGCTCACGCTGAACTGAAAAACGAATGTAAGAGTCAGCCTTGCAAGCGGGTGGCCACCACAACCCCTCTCCCAGCCAGCAGCACCTCTAAATCCTCGGGGACGGGCTTAGGGGTGCACCGCTGCCCGCCCCGCACGAGTTAAACCCGACAGCAGCGCCTTCAGCAAGGCTCGTGGTGGATCTCCTTGGCGGTAACGGCTATTTTAGACGCTGTAACCCAGGAGGGCAGCAGTTGGCATTTCAAGCGCTCGCACTGCAGCCCCTGCCGCAACCGTGCTCACCCTCCTCCCCACTCTAACTTGGATGCAGGATTCCCTTTTCTCCGAAGGCAATAAACCCCACTCTCAATTATGTTGGAGCATTACGAGTGTCCCTGCTGCTGAAGGTACCAACCATCTCAGCCCTGGGACAAGAGGGTCCTTGGCAAGGAACTATTAGGCTGGACCAATAAGCCTAATGATGAATTCAACTCGAAGGTGATGGGTGAATCGGTCCACGGCTACAGCTACGGGGCTGACAGCTCCTTTTCACTTCCCAGACATTTCCCCGATGGAGGGGAGGCACAGCACGGCTCCCCGATGCCTCCGGGCTCAACGCAGCCGTCACTCGTCACCCTTCCAGCATCCATCTCTTACGCCGTACCCGGTATATCTTCTGTTAGCTGATACTCCAATTTATGAGACCCCAAACTCTTCCCCTATGATTTATCGCAGGCAGGGCGACGTTTCAGCCCATAGCACTTTGCTCCAGAGCCTGCCTGCAGCTCGCAGAGGGGTTTTTTTTGGGGGGGGGGGTTAGAGACCTGCAAGCCATTGCTCGGCGGCGCAATGCTGCACTGCCCTTGGAGGGTCCCCCAAGAGCCCACTGCAAACCCAGCCTCCCAGGTGGGCTTCACCCCACCTCACGGCACGATCTTGGCCATGCTCACGCCGCTGCGTTGCTTTTCCTTCTGCTACGATGCTCCTACCCTTTTAAAGGCTCCACTTCTGCAATCTGAGTCTTCCGAAAATATCCCAGCCCTGCCTGCCAGAGCCGCCTCGCGGGCTTCTTGCTGGGCTGGAACCCAAAACCTCCTCATCTCCATTTGCTGAATAAGTAACAGGACGATCATCCCTCCTTGGGTAGGATGTGGACCAGCAGCTAACTGGTTTATACTGGGCCCTGTCCTGCAGCTCGCTCTTCCTTCCCTCTGCTCTGAAAGCTGCGCTTCAGCATTCAAGACTCAGCGCGATTTGCAGCGGCAGCGATACGGGGGATGTGACAGATAATTATATCCATGAAAAATCAAGCGTGGGATGGGAAAAGCCCCACGGGGCCAGGACCGGCTCCGGCACGCTGCCCCGGGGATGCCGTGGTACCAAAGGGGACAGGCGAGCATCCCTCGCGCCGCAGGGCTTGGGGCTGGCACGGGGACGTCCATTACGGCAAGCACGTGGCATGGGCTCTGACCAAGCACGCCGCCATAGCAGGAGCCGCTGGGTACAGTTATTTGGGCAAATTTATGCTGCAATTGGTAAAAGCTTGCTTTCCCCGTGGCGGATGTGGGCGGTTTGCTGGGAATGGCTGTGCCTCTGTTACCGCCCAGCCTGGGGAAGCCCACCCCAAGGAGCCCCAGCTTGAGCCCCCAGCCATGGGGTCCACGTACGCTTTTGCTATGTAACACCCTGAATTTATTATTTGCCTGCAGGCTCCTCCAGGAGAAATATCCCAATTTTTTCTTTGGTAAAACTATTCACTTTGAAGAAAAATCAGGTCTTTTTTTTTTTTATTTTCACACCTAGAAAAAATGTCCTGATGCTGCATCTGAGCGTATTAAGTCTCAAACCCCTGTCTGGAAGTAACAGCAATGCTTTGAAACCTCAAACACCTCTGGCTGAGCCTGCCTGCTCCCTTGTGACCACGCACACGTCTCGGAGGGACGGTATCCCTTCCCTCTCCTCTTACTCACGTCACGGCTGCTTGCAGGGGGACTGTGGGGCGCACCGCCACCAGCGTGGCACCGGCCTGTTAAAGCCCAGGTCCCCCAGAGCATCACCGCGGCCGGATCCAGGATGGTGGTACCCCAGTAGAGCCGATGATGGAGGAGACCCTCCCCTCCCACCCCTCGGCAGGGACCCGGTTTGGGGGCGAGCGCCGGCATTTGCCGGGGGCGGACACGTACGGTTGAGTCCCGTGGGGGCTCTGGCAGCGGTGCTGGGCTGCAGGGGGGCTGCCAGCATCTCCGGTTTGACGGGGACGCCGGCCACGCCGCTCTCGTTTCTCTCCGGTCCGCACAAGCCGGGCAGCTGAGCCGCCTTCTCCAGCGAGGGCAGGAGCTGGTCCAGCTGCTCCAGTTCGGCAGCAAACTAAGGGAGGAAAAAAAAAATCACAGGTAGGTGATTCAGCCCAAACACAGCATCAGCAAGACTGAACGCTGTTTTCACATTGCACGTAGCCCCCCCCCACCGCTGCTCCCCCCATCCCTTCGCTCGCCGAAATGCTGAGCATCTCACAGGGGTAGAGAACCAGCCCCACATCCCTCTGCCTGGCCAGACGCAGACCCTGGGGGGACAAGCACTGTCCCCCCCCCACGCACAGGTCCCCATCCCGGAGCCCGGTCCTTGGCGGCAGCTTCGAGATGCTCGTGCGCTGCAATTATATAATTATTAATGGTATATATAACCTCAAGCTATTTAAAACGGGAGATAATTTGCTTTGTTAATATACATATGCTTATGCTGAAATTATAATTTAAAAAAAAAGGACTTTTCTAAGAAACAGAAGTGACTTTGTGGAACAAGTGTCCAAAACCAACACCGGCCTCGGGCATGTAATTACCCTCAATGGGGTAGTAAAATACCATTCAGCTTTTCCAGCCTTCATCACGGCTAAGAGTGGAAGAGTAGATGTTTAGCCCGGGGACTCAAATAAATGGGAAAGTTACTGGGAAAGGGATTTGCACCAGTGGCTGTAATAGCGGCGCTGTAAAGCAGCAGGTTGGGATTAAAGGGGCTGAGATAAATGAGCTTCAGCTAAAAAGAAAAAATATCTCAGGGGAAACCAAATGCTTTAAAATCTAAGGAGGCAGACTGCTTCCAGAAGAGCCACCCCTCGGTGTTAGGGAAAGCCTGGCCATTAACACGGGGTAATTAATAGACAACTCGATAGCACTAGGGAAAATCTTTGCATTTGATGGGGGGAATGATGCTCCGGTCTGGAGAAGATGGAGAAATCTGCCAGGAATCGGGATCCTGGCTTCGACAAGAGGCTCTGCCATCAGCCGAGACGCGAGGCTGCAGCCGACAGCCCCTGCCCGTGATAAATAGCTGGGAGGCCGCTGGCTTTGGGCATATCTGGGATGCCTCTGCCCTCCCCCGGCTGACGGAGCAGCGTTAAAGACCTCTCACCAAGGTGACAGCTTTGCCCCTTGCCAGAAGAAATCATGGGAAGTTTCTCCCTAAATCCTAGCTGGAAGGATTTCATATCGCAGATAAAATCGTCCAAACCAGCGGCAATCCCAATCGCCACTGCAGCTGCTTCCAGTTTCACCTTCACCATGCGCAGGTCGGCGCAACGCAAGGACAAAGCCCGGGCCGGCTGCGGGAAGCTCCACTTTGGGATGGACCCTCCAACAACGGTGGCTCCATTGAAACCACAAGCCCAGTCCAACATCCGAGACCCGAGAGACCCCGCTCACACTCCCCACCATGTCAGAGATGTCCTTCTTGACCTTCACCGCTCTTTCTTCCTCCCTTACTTACAGTCTCATCGAGCACCTGGGTAGATAAATTGGTATTTTTAATATATGTGACAGGGCACACGCTTGCTTTTCCCTTACAGTAGCATGTTGTGAATTAAATGATGTTTAGACAACACCGATGATGAAAAGTGCACCGCGGGCAGCAGGCATCAATACTACAATTTATAATGGGCTAACCAATCTTTTTCTTTTCCCCCGTATCCTTTCCCTCAAATCCTAACCCCAGAGCCCTGAGAAGCAGAATATCCTCCTAAACCCAGGCTCACAGAGAGAATTAAACGCAGCAAACTTAACTCCTGCAGCAGGCTGCATGTGTCAACTCTTCCACATAATGTAATTTCTTGACCATGCAGAATTTCTTTAAAGCTCAAGTTTGCAAAACAAAGAGAACTGAAGCAAATGGGAGACATCCACGATACGGCAGAAATACATCTCCTCAACTCCACCTCCTCCTGCAGGGAGGTCATTTTGGGGGCAGAGGGAGAAGAAGGGCACAGAGGGAGCTGTGGGCATCCAAAACAGTCGTTAAGAGGAGATGAAACGGGAGCAGTGAAGTTCTTGCATTGCTCGTTGGGTACGTGAAGAGGTTGGAGGATGGAGAGGTGGGAATGGAGGACACGTGGCGGGAGCAGGGTGCTTCTAAGTTGTTTTCTGGAGCACCCGAACCTGCACCTGGAATCTGCGCCCACTTTAATGGGTATTTTAGTTCTCCTCCACGTCTAGAAAACACACAGTGCTGGAGGGCTGGAGCAGCTCAGGCCATCCTCAGTCTTGCTCAGAGAAGGCTCGGACCTCCATGACCTATTTCTGTCCCCAGATGGGTGAGAAAATCCACGGTGCGAGGGATGGAGACATGGGGTGGCTGAATATTTCTGAACAGCTTCTTCTTCCTCAAACCTCCGGCTCCCGGCAGAAACAAGGTTCCAAAACCAGAGCCAACCAAAAGGCAAACTAAAGGACACCATCTCATCTCTGCCCTTCATCCCTCGCCCAGCTGGCTCGTTGGATGCCCCACGCGTGAAATCAGCTTGGCGAGGAGGTCAGAGATGCTTCCAGGTGGTACCCACCCAGCAAACCTTCATCCCTGGCTGGACCTTGATGTGGAGCGGAGGCACTTCTCCTCCCAAGCCACTTGGGCAACGAAATACTTGCACAAATTAAATAATCCCACGATTTTATTGCAAGCTTCAGATCATTTGAATTTTCTGTGGAGCCCTGGTTCCTGGAGGCAGCTATTTCCATAAGGATTTCTGGCTCTCTGTCATCACTCCTTTTCTTCTTTTCGAGAAAAGGATTCTGCCCTGCTTGCGAAAACAAGCTGAAATGTAGATTCAGACCAAAAACTGAACGAAAAAGAAGGTAAAACTATTTTTCATGGAATCACAGAATGGTTTGGGTTGGAAGGGACCTCTAAAGGTCATCTAGTCCAACCTCCCTGCAGCAAGCAGGGACATCTGCAACTGGAGCAGGTCGCTCAAAGCCCCGTCCAACCTGAGCTTGAAGACTTCCAGTGATGGGGCATCCATGACTTCTCTTCGGACTCCTCCTCCATGCTTGTGGACGGTGGAGGGAGCTGAGCACTCCCAGGTGCAGGCAGCGCTGCCTGCTCCCCAGCATCCTGCCCAAGGGCAGATTTAAGACAATGTGACCTGAAGGAAAGTTTCCTCTTCACCTAGCTGAAGTTCAGCTCATGCCTTGAGGCACAAGGATGAAGAGCCCTTCCAAAACCTTCTTTATTCTTTTCCTTTCGTTTTTTTTTTTTAACTCTTGTAATTCCTATTAGCTCTTTCCCAAGCCCTACCCAAGTATTTTTTGTTCTCACCCCACGAACAAGTGGCTCCGAGCAAGCCCGGGGCGTTTCCATAGGATAAATCCAGAAAGGAAATAATTCCTTCAAGGCTGAAGGCGAGCTGCAGAGTGTGCCCCACAATTAATATCACTCCTAACTCACATTTCGATTCTTAAAATAATCACACATGAAAACAAAAATCTAGCAAGTGCTAGATTTTATTTGAAATGGCAGCTGCCCCTCCCCACGCCGCACCAAAGCAGCCTGTAACAGAAAACATGTGGAAATGAAACTCCGTCCTTAGCTGCTGATCAGTGAAGGGTTGTTCACTCCTCAGAAAATGCATTTTAAGGCTCTGCAAACCCTCTCCAGCCTCTTTTATTAACTCTTTGGAAGCACTCAGTACGGTCCAACGTATAATCCTGATGCTCTCCAGCTGCCTGGGGAGGGATACTTGGAACTGAAAAGCCACGAAGGAGCCTAAAAATGCTCGGCTGCTTCCAACAGCACAGGAGAGGGGCTTATAAACACATCCAGGCTCGAGTCCTCCAAGCTCTGTGTTGCCTGTTTGCGAGCAGAGCACAATTAGCTAGCACAGCCTCATTTAATTAATAGGGCTTTCTGCCCTCTCCGGAGGATGGATTACCTGGAACCATCACTGATGGTCAGCAAAGAGCCTGCCTGAATCCCTGGCCAGCGAGCGAATCCTGCACGTGGATGGCTGGGGGACCAGGCAAGCAAAGCTCTTCCCATGCCCTGGCATTTTGTCTAATTTCGGCTACAACCGTGCTCGCTGACACGCTCCCAGCTTCGTGAAAAGCGGTTGGGGCGGCTCTGGACAAGAGCCCGTGCATCTCCCAGGAGGATGCTATGCCTTCCACTGGAGCATGGGGGTGGGTACCCGGCTCTACGGCAGGTTCACTGCCCACCTGCGAGCTCCCACGTGCCTCCCAAAATAAGCACGTCTTGACTTGGGTCTCCCTCATCCAGAGGCACGTTAATTTAGATGATGGCTCTCAAATGGGAGATGATGGGGGAGGACGTACCATCCAGCGAGCTGGTAACACCAGGAAAGTACATTATAGAAAGAGATAAGGATTTCAATTCCCACTCGCCTATAGGATAACCAACCACGACTCCCAAGCCAACTGAGCCCTTAACCTTATTAAGAGACTTAGTGTGTATTTGTCATACGAGGCTCTCCGAGCGCTCTGTTATTCATCCCCTATCTCCAAAAGCTGGCAGCCTTATTTGCCGCAGTCAGTAAGCGGGCGATCAGCCCTGCTCTTCATGTCAGCCGCTCTCTTCTCTTTGCTTAAAAAGGATTAAGCAGCCTTATCCATGTTACCATCTCCCCTGGCTTTCAAAAATAAGAAATCTCTTCTATTCATAGCTGCATGTAATGAATATTTATACACCCAAATCTCTATTGCAGAGATCTGTCACTGGATTATTCAATTTAATAATACTTTTAGGATAACTAAAAGGCCCGTATAATTGCTCATCTCAGCCAACAAGAAGGCAAGGGATTGAAAAGTCCCTGGGACATGAGCCCTGAATGTGCCCAGAGATGCAGAATTAAGAACCTTTTCGCATGGCAACATGCACGTGGTCTTCTCCTCACTCAAGCCCACCTCCTGCTCACTTGTATACACCTCGGTAAAGTTTCTCCCTTCCCTTGAAGGGAGAACCATCGCCTTGAAAGTCTGGGCTGCCAAAATGTGAAGCATCTGGACAAAAGGGGATAGCACCGGTGCTGGAGAAGGCGGCATCAGCACTGGAGAAGGTGGCACCACCATTGCAGAAGGTGGCATCAGCGCTGGAGAAGATGGCATCAGCGCTGGAGAAAGTGGCACCAGGGCAGAAGGTTGCGGCAGCCACAGGACATCTCCCCACACTTCTCCCAGCCCCACCACCTTGCTGCGGAGGGAGCACGCCAGCAGGTTTGGGGGAAACTGCCCTCAAAACACAAGTTGTCGAGAGCATCCTACCAGCATGGATGCAGATGGGTCAACTCACCTGGCCCTGCGACTCCAGCTTGACCTCCTCCGTGGCAGGAGGTTTGGCGAGCGGCACTGGGGCCGTGTTACAGGGCTCCATCTGCTCCGTCTTCTCCACCTTCACCTTCACATCGTCCAGGCTCAGTGCCGGGGCTGCAGCAAGCTCCTTCTCATCCTTGTCCAGCAGATAGCGCAGGAGCTGGTGATCCTTGACATCTTTTTTCTTCAGCGCGTCTGGCTCCAGTTTGATGTCCGGGGTTCCCGGCAGCTGGCTCTGAGCCGTCGGGGTGGTGGCGGGGTCTGGGGCGTTCTCCTTCTTCTCGTGCTCCATGGCCAGAGTGGTAATATCAGAAGGGCTGCCCTCCTGAAGGAGTCTATGCAAAATCTTGTGTCGCTCAGTCAGTGAGCTATGGGAGGAAGGGCAGGTGCTGCTGGGAGGGTTGCCGGAGGCCAAGGTGCCAGCGGTGCCTGCACAGGCTAACGAATCTTTGCAGCTTGTGTCCGCATCGGCGTGTCGAAGCTGCTGCTCCGCCGTGGTGGCCAGGAGCTGGACCAGCTTATGGCTGGTGGCT